TAGCTCGTCTGTGTTGGGACATTATTTTGAACAGTGGCTGCTTTGTTTCCCCGATGTATAACTGGTCGCAGTCCTCCTGGCACAAGTGCTGAAGGCTGAAGGCTCTGCAGGTCGGATTCCAATCCTAGTTATGACTGTAGCGGTCGGGTCTCTTGACAATATGTAGGTATGGGTGTGTTTATGTATATATTTATAAATTTATATATGTACTGTATATGGGTATGGTTTTCAGCAAGGCTACAGTCATTATAATTATATAGATATGCATTTTTGTTGCTGTGGTTTTGTTATCTTTGCTTTTGTAGGTGTGGAGCCAAGAAATCGGGTGTGCTGTCTTGTGTTTTCTCAACATATATTTCACATATCTTCTAATCTCTCTTTCACTCTTTCTCATTACATTTCACTTTTTTCTTTATCTTTCTTTTTCTCCTATTAAAAAAAGATTTTGATCTGTTAAAAAAGAGCTTTGTATTTTTATTCCAGTGCTGCCTCATCCACTTATGAAATAAGTGTTCTTGTTCTGACTTTAATCATTCTATCTACTGATAAGCAGCATGCCATGAAAACTTAGTTCATTAAAGTATGTCATGAATTACTGGCTTAAACCTAAAATTATTATTTCCATCACACTTKCCCATCAGTCCTTGCTCACTCATATTAATCCACCTGCGATGTGGCCTTGGTCTGTCGATCTCCAAGTGGATCCTGTTKGTGACGCCAAATGTCATGGAAATATTTATTTAACAGACAGAAATACGTGGTCCAAGAGTGAAAGCACTTCGTGGAATGATCAGCTGAGTTTTATTGCAACAGGAACACAGAGAACAACATCAGACTGTTGCCCTGCTCTCTGCTCCTGCTTCGCAGAGACATTTGAGGCCTAATTACAAACACCATTATGTCATCTTAATAAAGCAAGAATTCCTCCTAAAGAAATGCTGGGTCAAGTGAAAACACAAAGATAAATACAAGTGATATCTAAGAATGATTGTTGTTAGCAAATCTTGTTCTGGCTTTAATCATTCTATCTGCTGATAAACAGCATGTCATGAAAACATAGGTCATTAAAGTATGTCATGAATTACTGGCTTAAACCTATAAGTATTATTTCCATTACATCTTCATACCTTTCAGAATTTTGACTGATATTTTGCAACATACATTTGCTAAAAACAAACAAAAATATTTTAGTAAATATTATTTACCTTTTATTGTTTTGTGATATGATCCAGCTGCTGTTGGTTTAGGATTAAAAAGTAACATATATATCACAAACAGATATTTTACCAGTTTGTCTCTTTAAAGTTTAAAGTTGTACAGGTTTGAAGTTGTATATATTAATTCATCAGTACATGATGCTTTTTTTRCCAAACAGGAATCAAATCTACAATAATCATGAACCTGTTCTTGATAAAACAGTTTCACAGTCACCAGTGAAGGTAGGTTCATGGTGAAACACTTGAAACATTTACTGGCTTTTCATTTGACTGTGTTTGTAGATGTAACCATTCTTTTATTCTCTCTCTTTAAAGATGAGAAAAAATCCATTCAACACTGATCTCACATCTGAAGAAAAGAAAAATCAAGTTGCAGGTAAGATTTTTCCAAAAATCTTATTGATAATAAATGGAACGAATAGGATATCTTGTCATCTGCTCCTTGGTTGTGTAAATATTTATTTCAATTATAATTACAATGGCCGACAGGTGCAAATGCTGCCAAAAAAAGCATAAAGAAAAGTGCTGCATACAAGAAAAACATGCAAAATAAAAATGATGCATTCATAAAATTGACTGCAAGTAAGAAAATTTAGCAAACTTCAAAATGCAAACACAAAAAACAAATTCAAGAAGAAAATGCTACAAAGAAAATGCACTTAAAAAACTGACTGCATGTTAGAAAAATGATTGAAAGTTCAAAAATGCATAACAGAAGTGCTCCAGAACAGTAGGGGGACATAACCACCACCTCAAAGGGGACCAGACAAACGTAAACTCTGACTCTTTTAAGAAACATCTTAAGACATTTTTATTCAGACAGGCTTTTAGTGAAGTGCTTTTTATTGTGTTTTAATTGTTGTTTTTATATCTGTGATCTGTTTTATTGTTTTTAATCATTTTTGCTTTCTGTGAAGCACTTTGTGATGTTTGTGTCTGTGAAAGGTGCTATGGAAATAAAGTTGACTTACTTACTTAAACACAACGATCTGTTGAAAGAAAAAACATTTGGAGGCTTTGACTTATCTTTTTATTACATACATATATACAGAGGGTAAAATAAGTATTGAACACGTCACCATTTTTCTCAGTAAATATATTACTA